CCTGCACATCATTCAACAAAGAATAAACGATTACAGGTAAAGTTTCATTAGAGCCACGAAATTTATACCTTAAGTGCGGTGGAAGTGGTTTGAGCTCACGTTGTGGCGGCTCGATAATTGAAGGCTTAGCGGGAAAAGTAACTCTATTCTCTAAGTCAAGAGAAAGTTTCTTCGGAGCATAAGTTCAGGACCCAAGCCCTTCCATTGCATTTACCGAATCCATGTATCCTTCCATGTCTTCACCATCATAATTTACCAAAATAGCCGCCAATGCCTCACCAAGGCATTCTTCTTCCATCTTTACCCCGACTGTATTCTCTACCTCATCAACAACATCAATGACTGAGATACTTTTGTATGCATAAGGAAATTTCATACCCTTACTCGCTTGAAAGGTAACCTCTTCGTCATTAACTCGGAACTTGATCTCATTTCGTTTCGAATCCATGAGTGCTCTTCCGGTAGCAAGGAATGGTCTTCCCAAAAGGATAACAAAGTCGGCAGGGAGGAGGAACTTTCCCACTTTCACAAGAACTACATCAACAATTCCCACCGGTCTCTTTATTGAACAGTCGTCCATTTGCAACCTCATACTTGTAGGCCTAGGCATACCTAACCCCGCTTGCTTGTAGATAGCAAGGGGCATTAAGTTGATGCTATCCCCATTATCACAAAGGGCTCGTGCAAAATTGTGCATCCTAATAGTGCCTGGAATGGTGAAAGCTCCCGGGTCCTCTTTCTTTTGGACCGTGGTTGTTGCAATGATGGAGCTAACCCGGTGAGTAACATTCGCCACTTCATTCATGGTGGTTCTCTTTTTAGTGATTAAGTCCTTCAAGTACATAGAAAAACCCGGCATCTCTTGAAATGCTTCCACAAATGGAATGTTTACCGATAGTTGCTTGAGAATATCGTAGAACTTTTCAAGTTTGCTATCATCAACACTCCTAGCAAGTCTTTGAGGGAAAGAAGGAGGAGGCCTAGGAATTGGTGCTAGTGTTTTTGGTGCCTCTATTACCTTTTCCTTAACATCCTCCTCGTTCACTTCTTGAGTTCTTCTTCGGGAGTCTTTCAACTTCAACAACAATTGGCACCTCAACTTGTGCCTCGACTTCTTGTTCGGAATCTTCCACTTCATCTACTTGTTCATTCTCTCCTTGAAGTAGTTTCCTACTTTGAGTTGTGATTTCCATACAATGAGAAGTTGGGCCACTCCCACTACCTTTAGGGTTTGCCATTGTGTCACTTGGGAGTGTGCCTTTTTGCTTCGGATTTTTCTCTCTTGAGAGATCTCTCATTTGCATCTCCAACTTTTGAATAGATGCGGTATGCGAGCCCACAAGCTTGGTCATGTTCTTCATTGTCGGATATATCTTGATTTTGCAATACTCGTTCAAGCATGTTTTCCAACTTGGACTCACTCGAAGAACATTCTTTCCAATGTGGAGAGTTCAAATATTGCCCCTTTGGTGGAACATAGGGGTTGGAACTCCGATTTGAAAAATTATTGTTGTTGTTACTCCAATTTCCTTGATCTGAACTGCCTTGGTCATTTCGCCACTGTTGGTTGCCTTGCCCTTGCAGGTTAGGCCTCCATTGCTTTTTTTAACCTGATCCTTGGTAGGGTTGCCTTTGATAACCTCCATGGGAGTTGTTGACATAATTTGCTTCCTCGTAATCCTCATTTGACATGGGTTGAACATCTTCCACTAGATTCACCTTTTTTGTTTGGCTTTCAGTGAACATCTTCGTCAACACATTGATATTGGTGGCAAGCCTGGCAATCACTTGATCTCTTTCTTGGTTCTCCTTAAGCATGTTGGTCAAGGAAGGAGTACCATATGCAATTCCACCCGTGGTGTCTTCTGAGTGCCAAGCTTGGTTATGTTCTGCCATCTTGTCAAGAATTTGAGTGTCCCTTGCAAATGTTTTATCCATAAAGGATCCATCATCTGCATTTTTGGCTACGGATTGATTCATATGATCCAAGCCCATGTAAAAATTTTCCAACAAGATATTATCTAAAAAACCATGATTCGGCGACCTCACCAAATATAGCTTGAATCAATCCCATGCCTCATGTAGATGCTCTCTTGGTAATTGCTTGAAAAAGAAAATTTTATCCCGAAGCTCGGACTTCTTGCTCTGCGGAAACCACTTTGCTAGGAAAGCTCGGACAAGTTCGGGCCAAGTATGAATGGAATTAGGCGATAGATTTTGGATCCATTGTCTTGCCTCTCCAATTAGAGAGTATTTGAACACCCTCAACCTTAGGGCATCATCTATGAAGTGATTCTGCTTGTGCATCGTACACACACCTAAAAAAATTCTGAGATGTTGTGTCAGATCATCATCAGTGGAATTTCGGAAAAACCCCTCTGCTTTGAGCATTAGGATTAGACTGTGTTCCACCTTGAAGGTAGCAGCATCAAATCTTAGAGGGATAATGGCATTTGTATCCTCAATATACTCATCTATGTCCGCAAAAATACTCTCTTCTTCCGGCTCGCCCATGTTTACCTAGTGACACCAAGCAAAGCAAGCAAGGTGTGATGGAATTGAAGAAGACGTAAAGTAAAGCACACACTAATTAGTAATTTCAAAATAGTATTCCTCGGCAATGGAGCCAAAATTTTATACAACTCAAATTACACTTTAATAAATAGTGTAAGGCGGTCGATGTCAAATATAATAATCCAACAAGGTTGGGGTCGAATCCCACAGGGAATAGGTGTGAAAAGGTTACTTGAGTAGTGTGAAACTTAACATAAGTCGTAATTCTACTCTGTTAGCTTAAACATAGAATGTTGTAATTGTGAATTAACAGGGTAACTATTTTTTTATAAGAGTGTAATTAATTTGATTAAGAAAATCAAGGTTGTGTCCCCATCAATGGAATATAATGCTATCATTGTTAATATGATATATTTCTAATGGAAGGTCCTTTGATATGCAAATAGTTCCTAAATGACTACCCAATATTTCCTAATAGTTAGGTAGTACTTCCTCTTTATGATTTTCCAAATATAAAAGAGTTGCAATTAAGAACAACCAATTTATGCCAAATAGAACCCGATTATTCCTAAGCGATTCTATTAAACAAGGTTTAAAGACTTGAGTTTTTGTTATTCAATTCTACCAAACCCTAACCCACATTCCAAGTAAAGATAGAGTGAAATGGCATTAGTCAATATTTGCAACCATCAACATTAAATGAAGCATGAGAAATGAATAAATACCAACCAACCATTATATATATATTAAATAGTAAACACCCATTGACATTACACTCATTTAGGGTCCACAACCTTAGTATTTAAAACTAGCTACTCATACTAGAATTCAAGAACAAAGCAATAAATAAAGTCATAAAGCTTACAAAGATGATAAGATTCTCTTCTTCAAAAGCTTCCGAAATGATGGTGTATTCAATGCCTCTTTTTCAAACAAGATGCCCCACAAAACCCTAGTTATTCTATTTATAATGGGCTAAAAGTCAGGGTCAAGATATGATAAAAATAGCCCTGAAGATCACATCTGCGACCATGAAACGGGCCGCAAAACACTTTTGCGGCCCACATAACTAAAATTTCATCGCATAGTTGAATGTCCAGTTGCCTAGTTTTCCATTGCAGATCTGTCATGCGGTCCGCACATTGATTTCGTGATCTCATTTGATGTCGCAAAATGGTTCTCGCAGAAAATCTCTTTGCACTTCTACGATCATTATGCGGTCCGCACAAGTGTTATGTGACTGCAAAACTGCTTCACTCTGCGGTTGGTTTGCGGACTGCACATCACTTTTGCGGTCGCAAACCTGCCGTTTTTTTTCCCTTCTATGGATTTTTGTCATCTTTTCCTTGTTCTTCGTTATTCAAGTCTAGTTTGTTGCAAAACACCAAAACTACATAAGAATTGACCTAAAATGCTTTAAAAGACGATATACAACCTATGTAATTAGTATCAAAAGTACCGCAATTCTACGGCACATCGCCAGGACTCCACTTACTGCTATTTTCGATACTTCCAAGTACAAGTACAGTTGTTCATCCGCTTTCGGTGTATGAAGCAGCGACGGGCTCGATAAATATCGTTTAAGTTCCTCCAGGGCCCGTTAACACTTCGGGGTCCACGAAACGATGTTCTTCTTTTTGAGTAGCGAGAAAAATTGGTGACTCTTATTGGAAGACCTCGAGATGAATCACCCCAGGGCGGCAATGCTCCCGGCTAGCCTTTGCACAACCTTCACGTTGTCCACTATCGTGATATCCCTGATAGCTTTGATCTTGTTGGGGTTGATCTCGATTCCTCGGTTGCATACCATGAACCTGAGAAATTTACCTGATCCGACTCCGAACACACATTTTTTTGGATTCAGCTTCATGTTGTACTTTTTCATTATACTGAAGGTTTCCTGCAAATGCTTTAAATGGTCATCTGCTCACAGGGACTTAACCAACATATCGTCAATGTAAACTTCAATAGATTTCCCTATCTGTTCTTCGAACATCCGATTTACTAGGCGTTGGTAAGTGGCATCAGCGTTTTTTAATCCAAATGGCATCACGTTATAGCAATATGTGCCATACTTAGTGATGACGGAGGTCTTTTTTCAAATCATCTGGATTAATTCGTATTTGGTTTTACCCAGAGTAGGCATCGAGAAAATGAAGGATCTCGTGGCCGGCCGTGGCATTGATCATGCGATCAATGTTAGGCAAAGGGAAAGAGTCCTTGGGACATGCTTTATTTAATCTTTGTAATCTACAGACATTCTCAGTTTGTCCCCTTTTCTAATTCCAATCGAACAGTGGATTACTCGACGGGAAAGTACATATTAGAGATGCAGATGGATGGGAATGTGGTTTTGTCTGCTTATAGAACTCCTGATTTGGGCCACTAGAATGCTCTGACTATAAACCACAATAATGTAAAGCTAGTTTTCAATAAGACTACTGCTACTATGTTTATTGTGAAATGGAAGCTCAATCATATCCAACATGACAACAGACCAGCCTTCTCCAGTTCAACATTATTACCACCTGGCGATGGTCACTGACAAGGAAGATTACCATGGCAAGCTATCACGCAACCTTGTGTTGTGAGCAACATTTGTGGAGTATATGGCCTTTTCCAATCATCTGATAATAAGGTAATCAATTACAGTTGCTTGCCAGGCTATTCTCCCAAAGATCACTATGACCCATCTCGAGGGTGTTATCCAAATGAGGTGAAAGATTTCTGTGATCCGAATTCTTCACCTTCGGATGTCTCTATCCTGAGAATAGCAAATGCGGATTTTCCTAACAGGGAATTTTCAGAACTAGAAAGGGTGTTTCAACTTGATGAGGAGATTTGCAGGCATGAATTATTGAATGATTGTCTTTGTGAGGCAGCTGTCTTTAGTGGTACTACATGCTACAAGAAGAGGATGCCTATAATTAATGCCAGAAGTGTTATTCCTGATACAAATACCATGAATTTTTTTATTTTGTGCCTCACACAACTGACACTAGTTGTGTGAGGCATCTTTTTTGTCTCACAACTGTGTGGGTCCCAGAATTTTGTGGACCCAGATGTGTAAGATATAGGTCCACAAATATGTGAGATAAAAAGAGGCCTCACACAACTAGTGTAAGTTGTGTGAGACACAAAATAAAATCACTCAAATAACATGGTTGCATTCCTTAAAATTAGCAACTCTTTGACAACTCAAAACAAAAAACACTGTGTGTCAAAGGGTGTTTTGGTAGCAGGTGTGACAGTATGTGCAATACTTGCTCCACTTTTTGCATCAATTGCTATATACTATCACCCTTTCGTACGAAAATATAGACATGCCAAAAACCCTCGAAAAAGAAAGCCAATTGAGCTGAATTTAAGGGCATTTTCGTTCCAGCAGCTGCACGAAGCCACTAATGGTTTCAAGAATAAATTAGGCCAAAGAGCTTCTGGTGCTGTTTATAGAGGAAGTCTCAAGTTAGAGGATAAAGAAGTTGAAGTTGCTATAAAGCAATTGGAAAATGTCACGGAACAAGGTGAAGAAGATAAAGAATTTTTGGCAGAAGTGAGAGTGATAGGCCTAACACATCACAAGAATCTGGTTCGTTTGTTAGGCTTCCGTAACGAAAAAAATCATCGTCTTCTTGTTTATGAATTGATGAAAAATGGGGCTGTGTCAAATTTCATCTTTCGGGATGTACAAAGACCGAGCTGGAAGTTAACAAGTAATATTGTACTTGGCATTGCTAAAGGCGTTTTATACATGCATGAAGAGTGTGAAAACCAGATCATTCACTGTGACATTAAGCCACAAAATGTCCTTCTTGACAAGAACTACACTGCCAAAATTGCGGATTTTGGTCTTGCAAAGCTTTGTATACGTCCGAAATCGGAGAACTCGATTTCGAGGTCTGAATGGAACCCCGGGCTTGAATTCGGGGTAGCACGAAGTAAAGACCAAATCTGACTGGAAAAAGCATACCTCGGGGGAGCAAATCGAAGACCCGCTATGATCTGCTTCGAGGGCAGTTCATTTTCGATGACACTCAAGAAAGAGCGGGAATTTCTCAAGAATATGTGGATCAGGGTATAAATTAAGGGATAAGATTTGTACGAAATGGTACAAGCCTGTACTATGTTGTTATACAGTTGTACCAATAAAATTCTTTGTCATAATTGGAAATGTACTATATTAGGATTTTCCCCTCCTATATAAAGGGAACCCCAATCTTTGTAAAAATCATCTGACTCACTGCAATAAAATATTCTACTCTACTTTTCTCGTGCTCCACAATTGTTCTTCAGCTTTTTTGTCTTTACTTTATTGTTCATACTTTATTTTGCCCTTAACTCACCTCGAGAACCCGAGATAATCAAGCTCGAGGACCCCGTTGCTCCATCAACACTGGTTTGGTTCGTCAATTTTTCCTGATTTAACTTAATATAATTTGTATATTCACTAGTATTAGAATAAATCATGTATCTTTAAAACCACAAATCATCTTTAGTTGTTGCTCACGATTTTTGAGGTAAACAGTTTGGCTCCCACGGTAGGGCTAAAGATAATAGTGATTATTTTAGTGCTAGTTTTCTGATAACACACGATATTCTTCACACTTTTCTTGTCAAAGATTCTTTAATTTCAGGCTAAGATATGTCTAGCTCAGCAAACGCACCCGTGCATGGAAACGACGATCTCGGATGTCATGGAGAAAATAATGCCACAGCTGCAGGGACCGGTGTGCCACTGCTAAACCCTGGGGTAGCACCAGCGCCAAACCCCGTTGATGTTGGTTCACACATAGCCGTGAACGTCGATTTGGACACTGATGTCGAAGGAAATGTACGCGGAGGGGATCAACCTGACACTCAAAGGACACAGGCTCAAGGAGAAAGAGAAGATAGTCTACAAGTGATTTTTGAGATGTTGCAAGCGCAACAAGTTGCTGTCGCTCAGTTGCAAAGTCAGCAAAAGACTCCGAGCGTGGCTGAGCCAGAAACCGCTCATCGTATTGAGCCAACAATGGAAAGATCAAGCAACGACGGCTCAAGAACTGACCCCACTGTCATGAAAATGCTCGAGGAACTCACGAAGAGGATAGAGTCAGGAGAAAAAAAGGATTGAGGACAACGACGAAAAGGTAGCAACATACAGCTTGAGGGTCGACCAAATACCGGGAGCACCTCCGATTTTGAAAGGACTGGACTCAAAGAAGTTCATGCAAAAACCATTCCCGCAAAGTGCGGCTCCGAAGCCCATCCCGAAGAAGTTTTGGATGCCAGACATCCAATATACAACGGGACCACTGATCCCAATGAGCACATCACTACGTATACTTGTCGCATCAAAGGAAATAATTTGGAAGACGATGACATTGAGTCCGGTTTGCTAAAAATGTTTGGGGAAACTTTGTCTAAGGGTGCCATGATTTGGTACCATAACTTAGCCCCAAACTCTATTGATTCGTTTGCCATGTTGGCAGACTCATTTGTAAAGGCACATGCTGGTGTGATAAAAGTCGCAACGAGGAAGTCAGATTGTATTCAAAATAAAGCAAAGGGATAACGAAATGCTAAGGGAATTTGTTTCTCGCTTCCAGTCAGAACGAAAGGAGTTACCACCAGTCTCCAATGACTATCGTACAAGCCTTCACACAAGGTCTAGATGAAAGAAGTTTGATAGCTTCGAAGCAGCTGAAGCAGAACTTGATCGAATATCCCGCCGTAACTTGGGCGGATGTGCATAAAAAGTACGAGACGAAAATTAGGGTCGAGGATGACCAGTTGAAAGCCCCATCGGGCTCAGTTTATCCAAGCAGGCTACTACCAAAGGAGTCAGGAAATACAGACAGGAGGTCAAGGCCGAATAAGGAAAGATATCAGCCTTACGTCGAGGATCGAAGGAACATCTTAAGGCGTAATATACCTCGGAATGATTGAGGAGAGGATCGAGGTCAGAGTTCTCGGGGACTTATGAGCAAAACCGGGTTTGATAGGCACTTGGAACCGGCAGAAGCACCCCGACTATTGGAGTACAACTTCAACGTCGATGCCTCGGGTACCATCTCAGCCATTGGCAAAATTAGAGATACTAGATGGCCCAAGCCTATACACACTGATCCTTCCCAGAGGAACCCAAACTTGATGCAAATACCACAGTACTCATGGGCATCGGACCGAGCATTGCAGGGAGCTTAGGGAGGAGGTAGCCGGGTTGTTCAACGAGGGGCATCTTCGTGAATTTCTCAGCGATCGGGCCAAGAACCATTTCCGAGGAAGAGATACAAACAGGAAGAATGAACCTGAAGAACCCCAACATGTCATTCACATGATCATCGGCGGAGTGGACGTCCCACAAGAACCAATATTCAAACGTATCAAAGTGTCCATCACAAGGGAGAAACGGACTCGGGACTACATGCCCGAGGACACCCTCACTTTCAGCGAAGAAGACATCGAGGCCTTATCTCAGCCTCACAACGATGCTCTAGTAATTTCTATCCTTTTAAATAAAGTTCAGGTTAAACATGTTCTCGTAGATCTAGGTAACTCGGCAAATATAATCAGGTCAAGGGCCGTGGAGCAGCTCCGGTTGCTAGGTCAGATCATACCAGCACCTCGATTCTTGAACGGCTTCAACATGGCTAGAGAAATGACAAACGGGGAAATCATCATCCCAATCGTGGCCGAAACCATACAAGAGACCAAATTTCATGTCATCGAAGGTGACATGAGGTATAATGCTTTGCTTGGAAGCCCATGGATCCATAGCATAAGGGCAGTACCATCGACCGTTCATCAAATCATGAAGTTCCCAACAAAGGAGGGTGTGAAAACAGTATATGGAGAACAACATATAGCTAATGAGATGTTTGCAATACACGACTTGACACTGGTATCGACACCATCCACATCAGAAAAGTCAAAAGACAAATAGGTGGCCAAATAGCAATTACAGACCATACCCTCGGTTGAGCCCGAGGGATAGGTGATCGATGAACAGGTGATCAAGGACGAAGAAGAAGANTCCCGAGCCTTCATTGCCCTGAGGAATCAGATGCGATGAAGTCCACAGTCGAAGAACTCGAGCAGGCCGTATTGATTAAGCGTCTTCCAGAACAAAAGGTATTCCTGGGGACGGGGTTAACCCCAGAACTCAGGAAAAAACTTATTCAATTTCTTATCAATAACATCGATTGCTTCACCTGGTCCCACTTAGATATGAAAAGCATCCCACCAGAGATAACTACCCGTCGACTAAGTGTTGATCCCAGGTTCAAACCGGTAAAGCAAAAGAGGAGACCTCAGTCCGAGGTAAAGCATGCATTCATCAAAGAAGAGGTAACCAAACTTCTAAAGATAGGATCCATTAGGGAAGTAAAATATCCCAAATGGCTAGCTAACATAGTGGTAGTCCCTAAAAAGGAGAATAAACTTAGAATGTGTGTAGATTACAAGGATTTGAACAAAGCATGCCCTAAAGATTCCTTTCCATTGCCCAGCATCGATCTTTGATCGATGCTACGGCCGGCCACAAGATCCTTACTTTTCTCGATGCCTGCTCCGGGTACAACCAAATTCAAATGAACCCGGAGGACCAAGAAAAGACTTCGTTCATCACGAAGTATGGTACGTATTGTTATAATGTAATGCCCTTAGGGCTAAAAAAATGTAGGAGCCACATATCAACGCCTAGTTAATAAGATGTTTGAACATCAGATAGGCAAATCCATGGAAGTTTATATTGATGACATACTAGTTAAGTCCCTGCGCGCATAGGACCATTTGACCCATTTGCAAGTGACGTTCGATATCCTAAGAAAGCACAACATGAAGCTCAACCCCGAGAAAAGCGCTTTTGGAGTCGGCTCGGGCAAGTTCTTGGGCTTCATGGTGTCGAACAAGGGTATCGAGATCAACCCCGATAAAATCAAAGCCATCGAGGAAATCACCATAGTGAACAATGTGAAAGCCGTACAATGAGTGACCGAACGGATAGCTGCCCTAGGCTGATTTATCTCGAGGTCATCATATAGGAGCCACCATTTCTTTTCCCTACTCAAAAAGAAGAACAACTTCACATGGACTCCTGAGTGCCAACAAGCCCTAGAAGAGTTAAAACGGTATCTCTCTAGCCCACCCCTGTTCTTTACTCCGAAGAAGGATGAAACACTCTACTTGCATTTAGCCGTGTCCGAGGTAGCGGTAAGTGGAGTGCTGGTTCGAGAAGAGCAAGGTACGTAATTTCCTGTCTATTATGTGAGTCGGACCCTAGGAGATGCTGAAACCAGGTAACCACATTTGAAAAAGTTAGCCCTTGCATTAATAAGTTCATCGAGGATATTAAAACCATACTTTCAATGCCATCCTATATGTGTATTGACCACGTACCCACTTCGAAGTATCTTGCATAAGCCCGAATTATCGGACAGACTGGCCAAATGGGCCATCGAACTTGGAGGGTATGATATCAAATATCAGCCTCGAATGGCTATCAAGTCTCAAATGTTGGCAGACTTCGTGGCCGATTTCGCACCTACCCTTGTACCCGAAGTAGAAAAGGAACTCTTGCTAAAAACGGGTACGTCATCGGGGATACGGACCCTTTTCACTGACGGTGCTTTGAATGTGAAAGGGTCCGGGCTCGGTATCATCTTGAAACCACCTACGGGCGGTGTCATTAGGCAATCTATCATAACTTTTAAATTAATTAACAATGAGGCCGAGTATGAGGCTATGATTGCAGGTCTTAAACTAGCCAAAGTCCTTGAAGCAGAAGTCATCGAGGAAAAATGTGACTCCCTTTTGGTGGTAAATCAAGTAAAAGGGAGCTTTGAGGTTTGAGACGATCTAATGCAGAGGTACTTAGACAAACTTCAAGTGACACTGATGGAATGGATACTTGACCATGTACCTCGAGAACAGAATCGCGAGGGTGATGCACTAGCAAACTTGGGGTCATCGGTG